CCAGCTCGTTCTTCCAGGTTCAGCCCAGATCTGACTCCTCACTGACCTGCTCTTGGGTCTCCCATGTTTTTAGAGCCCTCGATCTTTCCTGTTGTGCTTATTTACGTGCGATGGAATGTGAGCCAGGGCAGGGGCTGATTTGTTTTTGTGTTTGTGTTTCCATGTTCTAGAGTGGGTCAGTGGATTGAATTAAACATTTAGGAAGTGCCTGTGAGCTACCTAGCCTTGGGCTGGTGAGAGGGAAACATACAAAGATACACAGCCTGCCCTCATGATGCGAATGGTCTGGAGGGGGATAAAATGCAAAGACACATAGCGAGAATCAATCTATCAATCAATCAATCAACGTTTATTAAGCGTCTGCTCTGTGCCAGGCACTGTGCTAAGAGCTGGGGAAACAAAAAGAGGCCAAAGACTCAAAAGCAAGTGCTGCCCTCAAGGAGCTTACAATCTAATGGGAGGAGCTTATAATCCAATGGGTATCTAATGAGTATTAAGTGCCTCCTGTGTGCTGATTTTACCCCAGTCAAGTAAGACTTATTCTTTGCAGTGAAGGAGTTTACAATTCCAGTCTTGGGGCCCCCAAGACCTGCATTGTTGATACTAGGGGGCCAGGTGTTGGAGGTACAAAAACAAACAAGGAAGTCATTCCTGTCCCCAAGGAGCCTTTGTGTTTACCTTTGCCTTACCCTACACACTTCTTTACTCCCTGCAGAGTATTATTTACTAATATTGTTTGAACCTAGCTTTATGTGACTTTTTTTTCCCAGTGGGGTCCAACTCTACATGACCCTATTTGGGATTTTATTGGCAGAGATACTGGAGTAGTTTGCCATTTCCTTCTTCAGCTCAATTGACAGATGAGGAAACTGAGGCAAACGGAGTTAAGTGACTTGCCCAGGATCACACAGCTAGTATGTGGCTGAGGCCAAATTTGAATTTAGGCACTCTGCTCTATCCACTTCACATCTTAGCTGCCCCTTAGAAATTGTCTAACCTAAAAGCTCACTGTAGAGATCAGGCTGAGCTCAGTGACACTCAAAGAAGCCAGGACGGTGGGAAGCAATACTGTTACAGCTGCTGATCAACGTTTCAAACTGCCCTTCTCTGGAGACTGACTGCTGAGGCCAATCAGGCAAATGTCCTCATTTGCCTTGTTCCTTGTAGGAACTCTAATATAAACATGTGACTCAACAGGGAGTCACACCTTCTTCTGGCTCTCTCCTTTACCAAATGGATTACTTTCCAAAATTATTTCAGATTTTGGGGTTCATTCTCACAACTATCAGAGGAAACTGCTTTGCAAACCTTACAGGGCTGCAGAGATGGGGATTCTTCTCATTATTAATGTAGAGAGACCAGAGCTGATTTTTGTCTTTGTCTCTCAAGGGCTTGTGGGCTGATTGATTGCAAGCATGAATGCTTAACTGAGGACAGAGGCTGAAAAGGATTTTGTCACCTGAAAAAGTCACCTACTGCTTTGCTATTGCTAACTGTAGCCCTAGGATGATTTGAAGGGTTAAGCTTAATGACCAGGAATATGATAGGAGTGCAAAGGAATTTTGGATTATATATAATTCAAATAAAATTTTAACCAGAGGCACTCAGAATAGCAGCAGAAGAAAAGGAATTCAAAAGACAGTTTTAAAATCCCTAAAGGTTTTTCTAGCCTCTAAGGTGAGCAGCATGACAGGGAAAAGAAGAGCAGAGGATTCTGACTCAATGAAGAAATCAGGTCAGCTGTATCACCGGAGGACCTCGGCTTTCCCTGGCCACTCGTGGAGGCACAAGTCGTCCCAGTCATGCACGTGCCCTGGCCAAACTGTTTCCTACACATGTACCTTTCTGTGAATGTTCCCTAGTCATATGCTCCCTGTGCATCTCTTCTCCTATGGGTGGTGTGATGACCTGTGGGAGAATGTAATCCTGAGTATATCGCCAATTTTCTTGCTGTGCAATGCATTCATCTTGCTATGCTATTTTATTAAATATCTATACATTTATCCATAAATACTTTGAATTTATATTGTTATGTTATTTTATTAAATGCCTTTTGCTTTGAATTAATATGTCCTTTGGGTGCCTGCTAAAAGGAACACACCAATAGGGGCTCATGAGCTATGTATGGTTTTGAGTGAATGTTGACTGATATCAAAATGCCTTGAACCTGGGGTGGCATCTGAGTGGAAGGGAGGCGTCAGAGGAGCTCTGGTGAGAGCATTATTATTACTGAAAGAAAGAAGGTGGCCATGGAGAGGGAGGAAGGGCAGGGAGCCTGGACTGGGGGATCCCAAGGAGTACCAGCCCTGGGAAGAATAGGACTGAGGGGTTGGGTGGGGCTAGCTCTTGGGGTGAGTTGTGAAGATCAGAGGCCTGGATGGGAGAGCAAGCTCCCTCTATCTTCCCAGGGACATCAGATCATCATGAGACTTCATAACTCCCTCGCTGGTCTTCAGGGACAGGAATGTGGCAGGAGGGGACAGGATGAGGGAGGGGTGGGGGGACAGGAGGAAGAGACCGAAGGATATCAGAGCGGGAAGAAGCCACATGAGCCCCTCAACATGGAGAATAGAAAGTCCAGGGAAGGGAAGGGACTCATCTGAGCTCCCTCAGGAAGGCTGGAGCGCAGCCAGCCCCTCTAACCCTTTTCTCCACATGTAGCCTCCCGGCCCGAATTCTTTCTCAAACACCTTACCCAAGTCCCTGCCCTAGAAACGCGGGATTTAGCCTTTCCTGGTGGAGTCAGGGGAGCCGTGGTGATCACCCATTCTCCTCCTCCTCCTACAGGCAGTTCTGAGCCCACCCTGAAACCAAATGGGCTGTGCCTTTGAATCCTAGTGTCTGCTTTCTAGTTTTTCTTTGTTGTCTGAGTGCCTGCCTTGGGCAATAGCCTCTGCTCTCCCTTTCTAGTCTGTTCTGAGCTCCCAGAACTCCCCTCCCCACCTCCAGCCTGCTGGAAATTCTTTGTTGAGTAAAAGTGTTTGCGCTGTCAGTCCAGAAGCAGAGGCACCAGACCAGCCGTGTGTCCACCCCACGCAGGACAGATCCAGGAGCCATCTGGAGAAGTCGGAGCTCCTCCTAAGGAAATTCTTTCTAACAATCAGAAGTGACCCAAAGTGGAATAGACTGCTTTGGGAGGTGATGAGCTGCGCGTTAGGGGAGGTCTCCCAGGTCTCCATAGGCAATGGTAGCAAGGGGAATCCCAAGAGAAACACGCGCTCTACCAGGTGGGCTTTGGAGCATCTTTCTCGAGGCTTGGGGACCATTTTTACCTTCCTCCAGATTCTCCTTCATGAATAGTAGACTGCCACGTGGGTGATCTCCCAATGAGTGAGCCTGAGCCGTTACCATAACAATAATTCCTCGCTTTACTTTTGACTTCTCACAATGCTTACTCATTCATGGTCCCAGCCTCTGAGGGAAGAGGGCCATACGCCCTCATCCCTTTTCAAATTAATTAATCAGTTGATCACTCAATTAATTTATAACATTTTTTGAGAAGTTTTAGTTCCAAATCCTCTCCCGCTCCTACCTATTGAGAAGGCAAGTGATATGTTCATCCCTTTTACAGATGAGTAAACTGAGGCCCAGAGACTATGAAGGCTAGCGAAGCAGTGAGTCACAGTGGGAGCCGACTTTGACTCTGGGGTCAGATGCCCTGGGTTCAAATCTCACTTCTGATGCTTACTGTTTGATGATCTTCATCACTTCACCCCTGTGGGCCTCAGTTTCCTCCTCTGTAAAATGACGACCTTTAAGGTACCTTTCTTGATTACTTCAGGTGTTAATGCCTGCCCCACACCAACGACCAATGGTTTATTTTGAATAAACTTAGATATGTATGTGTCATCTCTTGGTGTGACACATTAGTCATAGTATAGGGGAGTTACTGTTAGTATGGACGCTCCTGGAGCACAGGACGTCTTATGTCTTTGTGTCTCCAGCAGCTCGCGTGGGGCCTGGCACACAGTAGGTGCTTAACGCCGAGCTCACCCTAGAACGAGCAGCCCAGCCCAGATGCCCGGTTCCAAGTCCAGGTCTCTCTTCCCTGGGGGTGCATCTCCCTCTCTTTGCTGGGACAGTGAAGAGACCTTAGCAAAGCTTTTCATTAGTGTCTCATAGCTGTTCTCGTGGAAAAGGTAGAGAGATGCTGATGAGGGGACGATATGGTTGGGTCCAGCACTGAAGGATGTTTGGACTCAAACAGGTCATCAGGGATGGTTCTATGTCCCCCTGAGAGGAGGGCGCCAGGGTCAGGAAGACTGGGGTCTGGTCCTGCGTTGGGCACTTCCCAGCAGGGAGATGCAGTGGCCAGAGCCCTCCCCTCTCAGATTCTGAGTTATGAGCCAGGAGTGTTGATGTACTCAAGATCGGAGTGGGCTTATTCTGGGCCCCGCCCATCAACTGTAGTCCTTGTACTCAGCAGCAGAAAGCAGCTGAGCTCTGAGCCGCCCTTGGGCCATCCAGAGCAGACTCTTGTCTGGGCCCGGGTCTGGGTCAGACAAGTTTATCTACTCACCTGCCATCTGTCTACTCCACTGGGGACCTTAACACTCTTGAGTTAATTCTAGTGGAACAGGGAGGTTCTCAAAAGGAACCCAACCATGCCCCATCCAACTATTTTACAATTCAGAATTTTCTCTGAGTCGGCCTGCCCCTCAACCCCACTCTATCCCCCATTAGTTAATTGGTGAAGGCAGTGGGTCTGTTTTTCCAAGCTCTCTCCCCAGATTACAGTTTGGACTTCAGACCTGCCTTGTCCTGGGGAGTGATGACCCAGCAGTGGGGGCAAGGGAGTCAGATCCTTGGCAGCTGGCACTAGGGACATTGATGGGAGGCCCGATAGAGGGAATCAAGGGCCTCTGAGGAGCCTGGAGTGACAGGGCCTGCCTTGAGTTCCTGGGCTCTGCCTGGCTGGGAGGAGGGTTGTTACTCAGGTCCTGGATTCTCACTCACTGCACTCTGGGGGGGAGCTAGGTGGCCCAGGGGACAGAGCGCTGGACATGGAGCTGGAAGGGTCTGAGTTTGAGTCCTGTCTCAGACCTTTACTAGGTGTGTGACTCTGAGCAAGACGTTTATTCTCTGTTTCAGTTTCCTCATCTGTAAATTGGGGATTATAATAGCACCTACCTCCCAGAGTCGTAAGCATCAAATGAGGCAATATTTATAAAGTGTCTAGTGTGCTAAGCATGTGCCTGGCACATAGTAGATGCTTAAGGTACTTAATAAATGCTTGTTTTTTTCCTCCTTCCCTTCCTCCCTCCCTTCCTTCCTTCCTCCCTCCATCCATCCTTCCCTCCCTTCCTTCCTTCTTTCCTTCCTTCCTCTCTTCCTCCCTCCCTCCATCCATCCTTCCCTCCCTTCCTTCCTTCTTTCCTTCCTTCCTTCTTTCCTTCTTTCCTTCCTTCCTTCTTTCCTTCCTTCCTTCCTTCCTTCCTTCCTTCCTTCCTTCCTTCTGGTTCTGTCCCTCTCTCAGTCATCTGGGAGTTGGAAGAATTAAGATCATAGAGCTGAGAGGGCTCTTAGCTGAACCCCCTCATTTTATAGGGAAGGAGGCTGAGGCCCAGAGGGGATTTGCTCATGGCCACAGGCACTGAGTGTGAGGCTGAGGACGGACTTGGATGGTGGCAGGGGCAGAGGTCACTGTGGGCTGAAGGAAGCTGGAAACAGGGGGAGAATCTGAGCTCCATCCAGACAAGGCCAAAGCCCAACCTCGAGCGGCCCCAATGACTGGGAGAAGCAATCATGGTTCAAGGGCTCTTTCCACAAGGTCATATGGCTCTGGGTCCTGCTGAGAGGGACACTACCCACCCTGTGCCTATACCATATAAATCCCGTTAAGAAAAAAACCAAAGGCTTTTGGAGCTGGAAGTGGCCTGTGCACGCAGCCTGGGGTCCTCCAAATAAGTATTTGGAGACAGAATTGCTGAGTGCAAATCCAAACACTTCTAAGTTGTGTGACTTCAGCAAGGTACTTCCCATCTTGGAGACTCAGTTTCCTCATCTGTAAAATGAGAGGGCGGGGTTTGATCCCCCAAGGTTTCTTCAGATATGAAGGCCCAGCCTAGGGTCTCTTCCCATTCCATGGGGATGTGGCACCTCAGAGTTGGAAGGGCCCTTAGAGGTATCCAGTCTCTCCTCTGAGGCATTTGCTAGTGCCATATAGGATAGAGCTTTGGGCCTGGATTTGGGAAGACTAGTTCAAATCTAGCCTCAGACACTTACTAGCTATGTGATCCTGGGCAAGTCATGTAACCACTACCTACCTCAGTTTCCTCAACTGTAAAATGGGGATAATAATAGCACCTACCTTGCAGAGCTATCGTGAGGACCAAATGAGATAATATTTGTAAACAGCACTTAGCACAGTGCCTGGCACATAGCAGATGCTATGTAATCAATAATCATTTATTAAGCACCTACTACATGCCGGGGATACAAAAAGAGGCAAAAGATAGCCCCTAAACTCAAGGAACACACAACTGAGTGGGGCAGACAACAGACAAATACGTACAAACAAGCATACTCCTTCCCTTTCCCAGCCAATCATCCAATACCTGAAGAAGAATCCTCCCTCTGTTTGAGGACCCTTAATGAGGGGGCTGGCCTCAGCCAGGGTGGCTTTTGGAGGGGTCAAGCCAAAAGTCGCCCGCATCTGCTATTTCTGCTTTGGTAACTCCCAAGGCTGAATCTGGGGCCGAGCAGAACCCTGCTAATACCTCTACTGGGAAACAGCCACCTTAAGCCTTCTTTTCTCCAGGCTAACTGGCCCTGGTCCTTCGGTGGGTCTTCCTATGCCTAACCCTCCTCCCAGCCTCCCTGGCTGTCTTCCAAGCATGTCTCAGGTGCCCCTTATTCCAGGAGACCTTCCCTGACCACCCACATTCATCTTCTACAGTATCTGAAAAGTGGTCATCCTGTCTTTGCTTGAATGCTTTGGGAAACAGGAAGTTCACTACCTCCCAAAGCAGCCTCTTGCATTTCTGGACAGCTGTGAATTTTTGGGAATTCTTCCGTATTCTGAACAAGCCTCTGCCTTTCTGTAAGAGACCGTTTTGTGTCCTCAAGGATAACTCAGCTCCAAGCTAATCCCTGGGAGAGCCCTTTAGATATTTGAACACAGATATCTCCTTCTCCCTGACCCGGTCTTCTCCCTTTGCTGGCTAAACCCAACAGTTCCCTTAGCTGGGCTCTGAAGCTGAGTTTTCTCCACTCCTGAGCAGGCTCCGAAGCAAAGGCAGACTGCACCCCTGGACCCCTGAGCCCCTCAGTTCCAGGACTCCTGTTCTCTTTACTGAAGCCTGGGCCTGCCATAGCGGGGGGGGGGGGGCGGCCTGTGCCTCCCCAGTCTGCCTCTGGCTGCTGTGCTTTTCTGCCCTCCTCTGTCTGGTCCTGTCCCGTCCTGCAGAGACCTTCAGCCCAGCCTGCCCTGACTCCCAGGCACCCACACCTCTGAGCCCCCACCCAGCAAGACTTACTTGTCATTTCTGGAGTGTCTCTGCAGGGTCTTTCTTCTCTTCCACCCTGGTCCGTGTCCTTGCTGCCGATACCCGTCTCTGCGTCTCGTCTCTGTCTCTGCGGGTGCCTGGCGGTCTCTGTGTCTCTTCAGGTCTGCCTCTTTGGCTCTCGCTCCGTCTCTGGAGCCTTTTCTTGGTCTGTGTCTCTCCGAGGGGCTCCCTCAGTCTTCCCGGCTCATCTCCACAGGTGGGTGACTGGGTCTCTCCTGGCTACGGGGGGCGGCTGCACTTGCTTGCCCAGATTCTGCCCTCGCTGCCCTGCTTCTGCAGGGCAATGAGCAGGAACTGTCTCTTGGAAAGCTCTGGACCAGGCGGGGCTGAGGAGAGAGTGGTCCAGAAGAGGAGCTGTGGAAAGGAGTGGTGGATGATGGCAGCGTCCCTCCCCGCCCCCCACCTTCATCCCCATCTCCTCCCACCTCCTGGGTCCCACTAGGCCAGCCCCCTTGTCTTCTTCGGCAGCTGACCCACTCCAGCAATTTCCAGATGATGATTTAGAGATAACAGTGACAGGGATGCTGCCTTAAGGCCCCCCAGGGTCCCTGGAGGGGGAAACAGACCTGTGTCTGCAGGAGCAGCCCAGCCCTGATGCCCTGGAGTCCAGCCCAGCTCAGCTCTGGTGCCTATGAACCCAGCCCAGCCCGGTCTGACCCAGTTCTGGTGCCCATGAGCTCAGCCCTGCATCCTACACTCATGATTCTTTGGAAGCAAGGGTAGTGATGGCGAGGGCACTGAGTGTGAGGCTGAGGACGGACTTGGACGGGGGCAGGGGCAGAGGTCACTGTGGGCTGAAGGAAGCTGGAAACAGGTGGAGAATCTGAGCTCCCTCCAGACAAGGCCAAAGCCCAACCTCGAGCGGCCCCAATGACTGGGAGAAGCAATCATGGTTCTGTATCTCTGGCCTCAGTTTCCTTTTCTGTAAGATGACCACTGAGGTGCCTTCCAGTTCTAGGCCTATGAGCTTGTAATCCTCTAACAACAGCAACAATAATCACGACCCCACAATGGCCCCATGAGGTTGGACCAAGCCCTGTCCTCTACCTCCAGCCCCTACCTGAGCTATTGCAACAGCCTTCTGCTGGCCTCCCAGCCTCCAGCCTCTCCTCCACTCAGCTGCTCCAGTGACCTCCCCAACGCCCAGGGCCGATGGTGTCATTCCCGGGCTCACCAAGCTCTGGCCGCGCTCTGCCGCTCCCGAGCTTGGCATGGGAGGCCCTTCCCCATTTGGATGTAAACTCCTCGGGGGCAGGGACTGTCAGCAGGTTTGGATCTGTCCCCCAGACTGGGCACGATGCCAGGCACACAGTCAGCGTTTAATAAATGCTCAGCCTGGCTAGCTGGCTTCCCGGGCTAGCTTCCACCTTTTCACACTTGCTGCGCCATCTCCAGCTCTGGCCTTTGTGCAGGCTGGCTGTCCTCCATAGCTGCGAGGCCCTTCCTCTGCCCCTCTGCCTCTTCAAAGCCTTGATTTCCTATAAGACAGCTCTGCTGCCCTCTCCTACGGGAAGCCTTCCCTGATTTCTCCTCCCCCACCCCAGTTACTGCTCTCCTCTCCTGTCCTCTTTCCACCCTCCCCCTCCCAAGCTCTTGGAAGGCCGGGACAGTTTCACTTTTGTCCCTGGTGCCTAGGACAGTGTAGGCACTTGTGCAGTTGAAGTGCATTAGGGAGGTCAGCAGGCCTCCTGGCCTTTGCCAGCCCCTCCACTGTTCACATGCAATTTCTTGATCCTTGGGATGTGAGGGACAGAAAGGCTGCCCTGGAGCTCATAGGATACTGTTTCCATCTGTGAAGAATGAATTCTAGACTCAGAGCTCCACCACCCCCCAGCCCCCATCTGAAGAACGCTTCCGAAGGATATTACTGATAACAAGATTGCATTGAGTCCTATCCTGGTCAAACTCCAACCCACGCCTCGAGTGATTCTTCTGCCTCAACAGCCCAAGACTGGGGGTGGTCTGCTCTGGTGGCTGGGTGGTCTGATAGAACAAGTATTGCCTCTGTCAGGAGGCAGAATGATGGCCAGCTGATCTCAGCCGGGGTTGAAAAGGCATATAATCGGGCACTCCAAAATCCCAAACTGAGCCAGTTCCGGACTGGCCCCCTTAGGGGGGCTTGGTTCTGAACTGTCACTCCAAGCAACGTGTGTCAAGCCAGCTTGTGAGAGAACTTAAAACGCAGACACACACACCCTAACCATCTCTTTCTCAGAACTAACGCTATCATCCTCGTTTTACAGGTGAAGAAACTGAGACCAAGCGAGACTCTGCCAAGGTCTGGCAGAGCCCTGAGTGGAGTGTCTCCTTCGCATCCCGCTGCCTCTCCAAGGCCGCCCAACTTTCTTTAGTTTGTCCAATAGAGCTTCTTTGTGCCTAGTTATAGAAGGTCATCTCCCTCACCAGATTTCTAGTTCCTTGAGAGCAGGGACTGACTTTTTTTTTTGTCTTTCCTTATGTCGTCAGTGTTTAGCCCGGTGCCTGGCACACAGCAGGTGCTTAACAAATGTTTATTGCCTGACAACTGGCTGCTTTACATGACAGATGCTACCCAGGGTTAGACAGAAAGCTGAGAGCCCCGGTCTTTCTTTGAGATAGAGATGGGGTCACCTTTATAACAGGAACCGGCTGCGGACTGGAAAAGGCTGTGTCTGGCCCCGCTGGAACCTCAGGGTTCCTGCCCTCTTGGGCTTCCTGCCAGCAGCAGGGCCAGAGCTTTGGTGATGGGGTGGGGAGCTGGAGAGACTGTTGTCTACACAGCGCCCTTCCCTGCTCCCCACCCCCACCCTCCTATTGTGGGCCTGGCCCTGGGCCGGGCATACAGCAAGTGCTTGGCCAAGTTGGTGAGTGAGTGAGTGAGTGAGTGAGAGCAGGTTGGGGCCTTGAGGCTGTTGGGGAGAGCTCTTTCCCCTTCTGATGCCCGACATTCCACAGCCCCTAACTCCAGACTATACAGTACCAGGCAAGGAAGCGGGGCTCAGCCAGCAGCGCCCCAGACTAGACCACATCTGTCATCCCATCTCAACCACTTCAGATGACTAGGCTGGAACAGTATCCCTGAACAGCTGAGCTCTGGACAGACGGCCCCAGGCTGGAGAGCTTGGTTGCAGACCTGGGGTTTGGACCCAGGCACCCTGACCTCAAAGGCAGCAGCAGCCTTTCCACTGCCTGGTCCATGTGTATGTGGGCCTCCCTGAGTGTGTGAGTCTGTGTGTGCATACATATGTATGTGCATGTCTATGTGTGCATGTGTGTGCTGACAGCTCCAGCTCTGTGGGCTCCTGCCCCAATCCTCCTGTCTCTCTTCTGCCTGGGGCTCTCCTGCTGCCCTCTTCTTGCCTCCC